AAAAAAAAAAAAAATGTAATTTAGCTCAGCTTTTTATCTGTTTTTTCAACTTTTATCTTCGCTTGTTCTTGGTAAACCTCTGCTTAATGCTATAGAGTTTTGAAATTTTAAAAGTAAAAGAAAAAATTTTTCTCAAAAAGTGAAAATTCTTGGGATCCACAATATGTTAGTTGAATAATAAACTTCTGAAGCGTGTCCGGTTGAGTGAAGAATCGGAATAATTTCGCTCTTTGGCGGCCTCTGATTATTTTGGACCACTCTTTGAATCAAATTTTTTTTCTTAATCTGGGACCTGACTATATTAATCTCCGGAGTTGAAAAAGAATTGTGCATTTTTATGTGGAATGACCCTTTTATAAGTTGGTTATTTCGAAGATTTGAAAACGCTATAATTTTATCGTCTGGATCGGCGGAATTACCAGATCGTCACATATGGTGTGTTCGCTTGACAGCTCGCAAATTGAATTTTTGAAGCATCATAACTTTTTTTATAGTAAATAGCAGCTTAGAATTGACCCTGTTACCACTCATTTCTTTGTCATTTTAACACTGTTCAAAAGAAACAGGATTCTTTCGAATTTTAATGGAGGGAGTTTGAGCAACCAGCAAAGTGGTTGTCAATATTGCCAGTTTTGGGTGCTTTTGGCAACTGACATTACTCAATAGTTAAAATGAGTACCTGGCGAAGGGTATCTTGCTTTGTTCTTTTTATTCTCACGACTTTCCTGCTGAGCCATTTTCTAGAAGTGTGAAGGTTTGAAATCAGAATTCGATTGATAAAAAATTTGGGGGTTTGAGGAGTGCTTATTTTGGATATTACTTAATATGGAGGTGTTCGCGGTTTTAACACTCAAAACGCGAAAAGGTCACATATTAGTCCAAAACACGGATTGAACTAGAACGGGCAGGAATCTGCAATTTAGATCAAGTAGTTCTCTACATTTTCGATCTGCATCTATCACGTTTAGGCCTGTGGATGATTTTGTCAATTCTGCTTTTTGCCTTAGCATAATCGAACTTTTTTGTACAGTAACTTTTTGGGAAAATAACAGAAAAAAGTAACTTTACTGTCCTTTATCGCAATATTTCTTGAACGTCTTTGAAATTTCGCTCGCTTTCAAAGAAAAAGTTTATAGTTTTTCTTTTTTCTCCAACTCTCTTTCTTTGCCGCTCCTGAATGCTTCTCTATTTGCTTTTAGCTTCAATCAGTTGAGAATAAAAGATAATTATGTAAATGATATCAATATTTTATAACTGCAGTTATTTCTTAAAATAGCAGCTTTGGGAATTGTTTAGCGCTTGTATCGAGCCTAAATTTCTGTTCGTTTATTCATCAGAAATTATCTTCTTTGGACGTTCCAGAATTTTTAGTCAGTCACCTTGAAAATCACTGGACCATGTTTATCTGAAAATTAAGATTTAGTAGCTATTGATTTACTTTTCCGCTCTGATTACTAGTTTCTGTAATAGTTTTGGTTATTTTTAACGCTTTTACGTGGAGACTAAAACGATTACCCAGTTACTAAAAAAATAAAAGGTAATTTTTATTTCTTTAGTAGTTCCACCCCTACACGGAGGGAGTTTAAGTTGGATCAGGAGGAACCAAAAACAGTTGCCTAGCTTTTGGTAAGATCAATGAAGAAAAAGTTTTGTTATTTTGATTCACGAGGTACAGAAGTATACAATCAAAATTTTATTAGTCACTAAATCAGAAACAAAAGTTTTTGGGAAGCCTAAAACTTGAAAACTTGTACGTCTGTACCTCAGTTGGTCCTTTTTCTTTACACAGTTCAGCAGAACTGTACAGAGTTTTAAATACTTTAAATTTTTTGTCTGATAAATTGAGTTTTCTCAAATTTATATTCCGCTATTGCAGTTTTCAGAAATTACAGAAAGTTGTACCTCTGGTTTGTTTGCAGTGCAAGAAAATCCTATTATTATTTTTTTTTCTATTATTATTTTATTGCTATAAAGGGAGTGCTGAAGTGAGATTTGGAACAGAGGTAGTCTAAATATGAGAATTTGCGGAAAAAACTGATTTGGAAAATTATCAAATCTAGCGGTTAAGTGGAATAGGAGTGAACAGCTGCGGAAAGAGCTTCTTTAGTAGACTCTCTATTGAGTTATTCTGTGAAACAGGGCGGAGGAGCGAGAAAATTACTGCTATTTAAGCATTTTGAAAGTTTATGAGTCGGGAAATAGAATAGACTTTACTTAAGCCGACAGAGCAGTTGAATATTTGTTTTATTATAGCAGCTCTTACTTTATAACCAAACCGCATGTCAGCTTCTTGAACAGCACTAGAGTTGCCTTTCACTGTTCATGTTTATCGGGGCTTACTTAATCAAGTTACCGTCATAGACGCCCTTTTAGCGCTGCTTTTTGATGAGTTCCTTCTAGTGAGATTTTGCACCAAAATGTTTTGAAACTTGAAGAGAACTGAGTTTATCACAAACACTGACGATAATAGTAGGTCTTCGCTGAAATTTCTTCGGTTTTGGAATTGCAAATGTAGTTTTTTAACTTTTTTTTTAACAACGTATCACCGCCAGTCTGAATCTGGACAAAATATATCAGACACTGTTCGTATATAGTGTTTTTCCGTGTGGCGGTAAGGGATATTGACCAGGTTTTTTACAGTGTGAGGCATTCGCAGTTGGAACAGCGAAAGGTGTGTCAAATTTGGACGTTCTTGCAGAAATTTATCAGTTGGTTTGTAGCGAAATGGAGGATCATGTTTACCTGAAAGTTAAGGTGTGGCAGCTATTGATTTACATTTCCGCTTTGGTTACCCGTTTCTCTAATAGTTTTGAAAGGTGTTTTTAAAGCTCA